CTCCTCCTCCTCCTCCTCCTCCACCTCCCTCCCCCTCCTCCTCCACTCCTCCTCCTCCTCCTCCTCCTCCCTCCTCCTCCTCCTCCTCCTCCCTCCTCCTCTCCTCCTCCTCCCCTCTCTCTCTCTCTCTCTCTTTCTCTCTCCCTCTCTCTCTCTCTCTTTTTTCTCTCTCCGTCTCTCTTTCTCTTCCTCCTCCTCCCGGCGGCCGGAGGAGCCAGGGCACCGCCGCCGTGGTCCCGCCCCTCGAGTCGCTCCTCAGCCAGGCCGAGAGCCGGGGGAGCAGCCCGAGCGGCGGCCCTTGGCCCCCTCGTGGCCAGTGGGCCCTCGCAGCGCGAGGCCCCCTCGTGCCCCGTGGCCGCCGCTCCACCCCAAAACGGCCACTGGAGCTGGGGCCTGCCGGCGCGCGCCCCCGAGGCCCTCGCCCCCGCCCCCGCCGCGGAGGGCGGCCTCTCCGCCTGTGGGGCTTCGGCTCGGCGGCCCCGCCTGAGGAGGAGAAGGAGGAGGAGGAGGAGGAGGAGAAGGAGGAGGAGGAGGAGGAGACGAGCGTAAAAGGAGGAGGAGGAGGAGGAGGAGGAGGAGGAGGAGGAGGAGGAGGAGGAGGAGGAGAGGAGGAGGAGGAGGAGGGTTTGGGCGGCCCCGCACGCACTGCGGCCCTCCCCGCCTCCTCCGCCGGGGCCCCGCGGCCTGCCCCTGCCCCGCCCGCGGGGGCGGCGCGGTCGGAGCTGTCGGAGCTCGGCGGCTCGTGGCCGGCGGCTCTCGCGGGGCTCGAGCCAAGCGGTGTCCGTCGCCTTCGGTCTGCGCTCGCTCTCCTTCGCTCTGTCTCTCCAGTCTGCCCTTCTTCGGGTGCGGCCAAGAGGGGGGGGGTCCAAGAGGGGGGGTGCAAATCATGACGGGCGGCATGTGCGCGGCCCAGCGGGGGGGCCAGGGACGTAATGAAACAAGAAGAGGCGCCATAGAGTCTGGGGAACTCTCATGGCCCCCGCCATGATATCCGCCCCCCCCCTAGTCATCCCCCCCCTCTTTTCCGCCCCCGATTTCTGCCGCACAGCGACACCGAGGCGACACCGGCCCACGAGACCGCCCGAACACCGTCCGGGTCGGCCCCTGCTTCCGTCGCGGCGCGGGCGCCCGCTCCGCACGGGCGGTCGCTGCTCCGCAGGCGGGCGGCGCCTCGGCGGGGTTGCGCTGCTGCCCGCCATCGCTCGGACGATCGTGCCCCGTGCATGTTTCGATGTCGTGCCATCCCCTTTTGATCGCGAGATGGTCCGCTGTGCTCCCGGTGGCCCTCGCCGAGAACACATGCACGCGTCCGATCGCCATCGCTCGGACGTCCGTGCCCCGTGCATTGCTGATTTCGTGCGTCCATTTTTCTCGTGAGATGATCCAGTGTGCTCCTCGATCGCCCTCGCCGAGAACACATGCACACGTCCGAGCGACGTCAAGGATGAGGAAAGGCGGGGAAGTGGGCGGCCGCGCCAAGGGTGAGGAATGGCGAGAAGGGGGCGGCCGCGGAGAGGGGACCAGAGCGGGGCGGGACGCTCAGATCATCAAGGGCACAAGGCGCGGGTGCTGCAGGTCTCGGGGGAAGTTAGCGAACACTCATGCCACATTCGTTTGCCGCTGCCACCCACATTGATCAACATTTCGCGGGTGGGTCGCGGGTGGGTCGTGGGTGGGTCGCAGGCCGGGTCGCGGGCCGGGTCGCGAGTGGGTCGCGGGTGGGTTGCGGGTTGGGTTGCGCGGGGACGACGACAATAAACAACAAACAACAGACAACAGACAAAATAACGAGTTGCACCTCGACCGCAGTCTTCCCCCCGCGTGCCAGCTTGAAGTTGGGGTTGGGGCGCCGCTATAATCGCTTCCCACTGCGGTGGGGCCCGGATTCCGGGTAGGAGTCGTGCCAAGGGGCAGCCCAGGGGAGAGGATTTTTCTGAGATCCGACGTTGCACCAAAAAGGAAACACCGTCAACGATCACGACTGGCGTCCTTAGAAGAGGCCTCCTAGATGGGATCCGATAGATGGGGTCGAAGCCGCATCGCGATGAATCGGCCATGCTGGCGACGTCGGCGATGCATCGGCGACGTCGGCGTGGAGAAAATTGGGCCCCACATCGAGCCGCATCGCTGGTGCATCGCTGATGCATCGGCTATGCGGCGCCATCCTCCGACCCCATCTGCTCGGACCCCATCTGGGAAGCCTCGAGTCCTAGACCCGAACTTTCTGCGCCACTCTTCGAACCAGATCCATCTGTGAGGGTCCCGGTGCCCGAAGCCAGGCGAAAAGATGCCCAGTGTGAAGCATGCAACGCCCGGATCGGAGGGTCGTACCAACAGAGCAGCCCGAGCAGAAGTGCTCGAGAGGCTCGCGGGTTGGGCTGCTGCGCTGCGCGTGCGCGCAGCGCAGTTCGGCATCGGCGGCGCTCGGGGAAGGGGCAGAGCGCGGCGAACAGGAGGAGTGAGAGGAGGAGAGGAGGAGGAGGAGGAGGAGGAGGAGGAGGAGGAGGAGGAAGGAGGAGGAGGAGGAGGAGGAGGAGGAGGCGGAGGAGGAGGAGGAGAGGAGGAGGAGGAGGAGGAGAGGAGGAGGAGGAGGAGGAGGAGGAGGAGGAGGAGGAGAGGAGGAGGAGAATGAGGGAGGAGGAGGAGAAGGAGGAGGAGGAGAGCAGAAGGAGGCGGAGGAGGAGGAGGAGGAGGAGGAGGAGGAGGAGGAGGAGGAGAAGAAGGAGGAGGAGGAGGAGGAGGAGGAGGAGGAGGAGACGAGCGTAAAAGAAGTCCTAGGAGGAGGAGGAGGAGGAGGAGGAGGAGGAGGAGGAGGAGGAGGAGGAGGAGGAGGAGGAGGAGGAGGAGGAGGAGGAGGAGGAGCAGAAGGAGAGGAGGAGGAGGAGGAGGAGAGAGGAGGGAGAAGGAGGATGAGGAGAGGAGGGAGGAGGAGGAGGAGGAGGAGGCGGAGGAGGAGGAGGAGGGAGGGAGGAGAGGAGGAGGAGGAGGAGGAGGAGGAGGAGGAGGAGGAGGAGGAGGAGGAGGGTTTGGGGCCCCTCCGGTGCCCCAGATCTGGAGCCGAGATCAGCGTCCCCCAGCCAGTGGACATCGGCAGATGCTTCGAATCATCTCGTCGGCATTTGAGTATCTGCGCGCATGCGTTTGCAGTGTGCCTGAACGACGCCCGCAAGCGAAGTGGGAGGCAGGCTCGAAGATGTGCGCACACGTGCGCTGCTGTGAACGTGCAGGCCATCATGCACGATGCGTGCGCATGCTTGCGCGCGAGAATACATGACTGGTTGCTGCCTCCAACCGTTCGAACCATGCTTCCGCGACTCCAGCGCTGTCCGATGCCCGTGGCGCTTCTAGCCAATAGTAGCCGTGACCAGCCACCGCGAGGAGCGCGGCATGGGCACTGAAATCTAGCGACTCGCCGGATTCCATGACGTTCCCCGAGCTCCAGCCAAGAAGGAGAGGAGGAGGAGGAGGAGGAGGAGGAGGAGGAGGAGGAGGAGGAGGAGGAGGAGGAGGAGGAGAAGGAGGAGGAGGAGGGGGAGGAGGAGGAGGAGGAGGAGGAGGAGGAGGAGGAGGAGGAGGAGGAGGAGAAGAAGGCTGAACTCGGCCAGGCTGAGCTCGGCCACGTTGCACTCGGCCTGGGCCGAATTCGGGCCGGCCGAGCTTTCTCTTGGCCGAGTCTTTCCCTTGTCCAGCGCCCTCCGTCCAGTCAGCCTTGCCACTAGAACTGCAACCGCTGGGTTCCGCAGCCAGCCCACCCGTGCAGGTTGCCGTTGCGGGCTGTAGGAAGCGGGCATGGAGGTGCCCAGTGGCTTCGCTGCGCAGTTTCATGGCTGCTGGCTTGCCGTCTCGCGGCAAGGGGAGACCTATCAAGACCACCCAGCCCCACCCGAGAGCCCCACCCCGCAACGCACGCCACACGCCCAAGCATGGGGCTCGGAGTAGTGGGGGCCAGTCACGGGCCAAGACATCTGAACTCTGCTCTAAGCGAGGCCCTGCCTTTGCCCCTACAGGGGAAGAGGTCCGGGCAGTTCTACGAGCGGCAACTCTTCAGAACCACTCCTGTCCAGCTTCCTCATCCTCTGCCATCCCCCTGTCCCGCCCCCGCTAGCTACCGCGCACGGTGCCAGTTTGCCCACAGGAGGAGGAGGAGGAGGAGGAGGAGGAGGAGGAGGAGGAGGAGGAGGAGGAGGAGGAGGAGGAGGAGGAGGAGGAGGAGGAGGAGGAGGAGGAGGAGGAGGAAGGAGGAGGAGGAGGAGGAGGAGGAGGAGGAGGAGGAGGAGGAGGAGGAGGAGGAGGAGGAGGAGGGGAGGGAGGAGGGGAGGGAGGAGGGGAGGGAGGGAGGGAGGGAGGGAGGGAGGGGAGGTGCGTAGGAATGAAGCTGTTGCTGCCTGCAGCCCGGTGCTGCGGCTGTGACGCCCGCGATGCGCCCCGTGCGGCTCTCCCTGCTCTGCCTGCCGTCCAGAGGAGCATGCTCTGCATCCTGCATTCCGCCACGTCGTGGTGGCGAACTGTGGGCGGCTGCTCTAGCCGATGATGCAGCGTCGACGGGTACGTAAGGAGCCCACGCGCCTCAGTCTATGTCTGCACTTGCTCGAAGAAGTGGCAGGAGCTGCAGCTGCTCTTCGCCCCCCCCCCCCCCCCCCCCTCGTTGACGGGGATGGTAAACGTCGGGTGGAGACACGTGCACCTTCTGTGCACCTTTTGGGCCCGCGGTTGAAATCTATGAAGGGGCCCTGGGACACACAAATAAATACACACAACTAAAAAGATCCCCAATATTTTTCCCATATTTTCTGGGTTTCTGTCTTCCCCCCCACTGCCCATATTTCCCCATATTTTCTAGGAAATCGACGATTAATTGTGTCTTTGTTTTTTTTCTCCTCCCGCATCTAGTGGCCGCTTAGGGCTGCTCTCCTGCAGTCCTGGGCCCCCTTGCTTCTGTTGCACCCCCGGTGCCGAGAGGGGCGAGGCGATGCTGAACATCTGGCTTCCCGCGGAGGAGCCTCGTGCGCGGACGAGGGCTCCTCGCGCCCGGGCACCGCGGGCGCCGCGGACGTGTGGTGTGTCCCCGCCGCGTGCTCCGCTGCCGCGAGCTTCTCGCGCGCGTCCTGCGGCTGGGCGAGGAGGGCCTCGTCTCTCCTCCTCCTCCCCCCCCCTCGTCCTCTTCCTCGCCCTCGTCCTCCTGCTCCTCCTCCTCCTCCTCCTCCTCCTCCTCCTCCTCCTCCTCCTCCTCCTCCTCCTCCTCCTCTTCCTCCTCCTCCTCCTCCCTCCTTCCTCCTCCTCCTCCCCCTTCCACTCCTCGTCCTCTCGCTTTTCCTGCCTTTCCCCTTCTACCTCCCCCTTCACTTCCTCGTTCTTCTCCCCCCTCTTCTTCTTCCTCCTCCTCCTCCTCCTCCTCCTCCTCCTCATCGTTCCTACCCTCTCACTCCTCCCCTTCCTCCCGCGGAAACAATGGGGCTCTACCTGGAGCCGAAGCCCGTACGTCGAGATTATGTGGGCTAAGGCACACGCCAATGGTCCCTCGATGACACCCTTGGATCAGCATCTCCACTGCCCCGCTGTTTACGTTGTTTAGAAAGGGGGTGGGGGTGGGGGGAGAAGGCAGATGAAGAGGAGGAAACGAGGATGATGGGGAGGAGGGTGTCGGGGGGTCGGACGAAGGTGGGACCACCGTGGTTTTCGAAACAAGCGCCCATTTCTGGTGCGTGCTGAAGCGGGCCCCATCCCTGGGCCCCAATTTCAAAGTACGGGGCGTTCGAGGCGAGGGAGCGCGAGGCGTCTCGAAAAGCAACGCCCGAAATTGCAAACCGCAGCCTGCGCGATTAGGTGAACATTGGCTTTGGGGGCGCGGGGGGGGCTCTTGTGCCACCTTCTAGATGTTGTGCATGGGCGTTTTCTTTTTTTGTTGTAGTTTTTCATTTTTTTGGCGAACAGGCTGGAGACAACTAGCTTGCACCAAATAGCTGACACCACATAAAGATTGCACCACGTAGATTGCACCACATCGCTGGCACCACACAGCTGACATCACATTTAGTGCACCACGTCGACTGCATCCGAAAGAGTCTCTACGTGCGCGTGCACGCGTGCGCACGTAAAGCCTCTTTCGGACAATCTGGGTGCACCCCCCCGGCCGACGGGGGACACCGTGGTTTTCGAAGCAACCGCCCATCTCTGGTGTGTGCGTGTGTGTGCGTGTGTGTGCGTGTGTGTGTGTGTGTGTGTGTGTGTGTGGGTGTGTGCGTGTGTGCGTGTGTGTGTGTGTGTGTGTGTGTGTGTGTGTGTGTGTGTGTGTGCGTGCGTGCGTGCGTGCGTGTGTGTGTGTGTGTGTGTGTGTTGAAGTGGGCCAATCCCCGGGCCCGAATTTCAATGTTCGGGGCGCTCGACGGGGGAGTGCGAGCTGCTTCGAAACAAAAACACGCCCGCATTTGCAAGCCGCGGCCTGCGCGATTGGGTGAACATTGGCATTGGGGGCGCGGGGGGGGGGCTCTTGTGCCATCTTCTAGGCGTCGTATCTGGGCGTGCAGTTTCCCTGGGCAGTCAATCGGCTGCACGCAGGAGTGACCCTGGGCAACAGGGGCCGTTGGTGGGCGGCCCCAAGGGGGGGGCCCCTTAGGGGGACACGGCCGGGCGCGAAAGCCGCCGTATCGCACTCGGCGGCCGAAGGGGCCCCAGCTCGCCATCGCTCGGACGTCCATTTTTTGTGTTTTTTGTCGGTTTCGTGCGTGGTTTTGTCGCCGAATGGTCCAGGATGCTCCTCGATTGTCCTCGCCGAAGGGGAAAAAAAAAACGCACACGTCCGAGCGATGCCAAGCCAGTGGGCCCGCACCGACATGGCTCACTCTGGCGAAAGGTCCCTCTCAGGTGCCGCCGGGCCCGGAGGCGTGGGCGAGGATCGGCTCCGGGAGGCGGGCGCGCGTCGAGGGAGGGCCTCTATGAGCTTAAAGTGGCAACTGTCGGCCATTTTCCAGAGTACCCGTTGGTGAGCACCCGTGACGGTGCCGCTGAACAGGTCCCTCTCAGGTGTCGCCCCCGCCCCCGCCCGCTCCCCTGCGCCTCGTAGTCCACGCGTCGGCTCGGGGAACGCTGCACCCAGCGGCTTGGCCAGGCGCCTGCCCATTGATTGGCCGCAGAATTGTTTCAACGAAGGCGGGGGGCGGCGGCGACGCGCCGCAGGCATCCTGAGCGAATTCCCGCCGGGCCCGGAGGCGTGGGCGAGAAAATCGGCTCCCGGATGGCGGCCGCGCACGTCGAGGCAGGGCGCCCCCGGCGGCGGGGGCCGAGGCGCCAGCCGTAGTGTGCTGCAGGCCGCCAGGCCTCGCGCCCCCGCCCGTGCCCCACCGCGGCGGCGGGCCTGCGGGGGATAAGACGAGAAGGGGGCGGGGCCCTCTCAGGTCGGGTCGGGCGAAAGGGGGGGATAGCACAGGGGGGGCTTGAGAATCAGCTCACCGAGCTGATATTTTCCTGGCGCCTCCCGGCGCCTCGAGGCGGCCCTGTATCGAGGAATGGGCCCCTCGGTGAGGCCGAAGCCAGCTGCATGCAGCAGATTTCGTAACCCCCCCTTTCCCAATCCCCCCCTTTCGCCCGGCCCGATCAGAAGGCTCGGAGGTTCTCCAGCCTTCCGGCACCTTGTCCACGCCTTCCCCCCCCCCAAAAAAAAAAGCACAGAACAGCTCTCTGGATGGCCGGGGCCTTCTGAGAAGCTCCGCCGACCTCTGAGGAGGCCTTCTCCTTCTCGCTTCCCCCCCTCGCTCGCCGCCGGCCGTCCCCCTTCCATTCGACCCGAGTGTGGGGGGAAAATGGTGACCGCGGAGGAGAGAGGAGAGGAACGCAACGGGCGAGTGAGGATGGAGGAGGGAGTATATGGGAAACCAATGCAATCTCGTACCCCCACGTTTCCTACCCCCCCTTCCGTTCGACCCGAGGGTGGGGGGAGAATGGTGGCCGCGGTTGAGGCGGGGGATGCAACAGTGGAGGAGAGAGGAGAGGAGCGCAAGGGCGAGTGAGGATGGAGGGATACATACATATATATATATATATACACACATCTCTCTCTCTATATATGGGAAACCCGTACAATCTCGTACCCCCACGTTTCCTACCCCCCCTTCCGTTCGACCGGAGGGTGGGGGGAGAATGGTGGCCGCGGTGGAGGCGGGGGATGCAACAATGGAGGAGAGAGGAGAGGAAAGCAAGGGCGAGTGAGGACGGAAGAGGGAGGTAAATGGGAAGCCGGTGCAAAGGCAGCAGAAACATATGGGTCTCGGTTGGTCTCCTGCAGGTGCAGCTTCAAGACCTGCTGGGGGCGTGAAAGCACAAGCAACTGAAAAGGCCTGCGTAGAACGTTGGAAGACGACGACGACGACGACGATGTGAACAGCGTCTGCCAATCTGAGAGCCCAGGCACAAGTCCCCCGCAACTCTGGCTCCTGCCCACAGGAGCGATCCGCGTGTTCACTATCCCACGACTACAATGAAGCGGGCCACGAGGACATTTCGTCGCGGTCGCCGTCGTCGTCGTCGTCGTCGTCGTCGTCGTCGTCGTCGTCGTCGTCGTCATCAACATCCTCCTCCTCCTCCTCCTCCTCCTCTTCTTTCCTCTCCCTCCTCCCTCCTCCCTCCTCTGGCAGCGCCTGGCGTTGCTTCCGCGGCCGCAGCCCTGGAGACTCTCCCACGTTTCTCTCACCTGGTCACCTGGAGGCTGCGCGTCACAGATCAGCCCTATACGTAATTGACCACTCGCCGCCGACAGCATAGTTACCCTCGCCTCACGCGACACGAGGTATGGGTCCTCAGAGGGGGCGGGTGGGTACATGCCGAAGTGTGAGTGTGGGGCGACGGCAGCGTTTCCCCTCGTTCCATCCTCTTCCTGACCCCTTCTCCGTCGTGCTCCCTCCCTTTCCCGCCTCCTTCATCCTCACTCCTCTCCGACCGTCTCGCAGCAGTCCCTGCCTCCGATACGCAGCAGGAGCACGTATGTGCACGACCAGACAGTGTGGCGCGCAACCCTGGTGTAGAACGCCCGCCGCCTCTCCGTCTCCCCTCCCCTGGCGAGGAGGAGGAGGAGGAGGAAGAGGAGGGGCTGGTGGAGGAGGGGGAGGGTGGAGGAGAAGGGGGAGGAGGATAAAGAGGTAGAGGAAGGGAGAATCTTGGATACTTTTTTTGTTGTTGAAGAAGGGGGAGGGCCAGGACTAGGAGTAGGTAGGACGGTGGTCTTCCTCCGAAGAGGCAGGCTCACGAATAGAGGGAGATCAGCAGAAGGTGGCGGCCACGATTCGCGCGAGCCGCGCCGCTTCCAGGACGAGGAAGAGGAAACTAACGATGTCCCCGTCTGCCCAGCCCCGACTTCCCCCGCCTTCTCCGTCCAACCCTATCGGCCTCCGCCTCCCCCACCCCCTCGCCCCCCTCCTCGCCCTGGACGGGATCTGCATGAACACCAACTGCTGGAGGTCCGCGCGGGCCTGCAAAAGTGTATGTGCAGTTTTGCCAACTGGTTTTTCTCCTTCGATGCCCTCCTCCTCCTCCTCCTCCTCCTCCTCCCTCCTCCTCCTCTTCCTCCTCCTCCTCCTCCTCATCATCATCATCATACCTCCCCCTGCCCTTTCTATCCTCCCCTTCCCCCTCCCCCTCCTCCTCCTCTCGTCGTGCCCTTCCTCTCCCACCCGCCGCCGCGGATGGCCGACGCCAGTGCAGGAAGAGGCAGGCGAGGGGCAGATCGGGGGCGAGGGCCGAGCTCGCAGGGCCTGGACCAGTACAGTCAAAACGTTTACTAAGGACGGGTGGTAAGGACGCAAGACCCTTGGAGGCCGAAGTTGGATTTTTGGGGCGGGGGTCGGCAAACGGCGAAGGACGAGCCGCAGAGGCAAGGACTCAAGGGCACCCTAGATGAAGGCACGCGTCCTTACTAGGCGCGTTGACTGTAGCCGCTCGTCCGCTCGAGGCCCACCCACCGTGTTCTCTTCGGGCTTCGGGCGGCCATCAGCGCCCTCGCTTCCCTGGAGGAGCAAACTGTAGGGGCCCAGGGACACACCAATAAATACACACGAATCTCAAGATTTCCCATATTTTCAAATATTTTCAGGAATTCTTGTCTTCCCCCCCACCTCCCATACTTTCTGGGGAATCGACGACTCCTCGTGTCTGTGTGTTTCTTCCCCTCCTGACAGACGGCGGCGTGAACATGCACTTTCGACGGTGTGCGCGGATTTCTCGGATCTGCGCTGGCCCCCCCCCCCCTGGAGGGCGGAGCGCGCCCAGGGCGGCGCCGGAAACGCCGCTCAGCGCGCCCAGGGGGGAGGCCCAGCGCGGATCCACGGAATCCGCGCGAACTCCGGCAGGTTATGTTCATGCCGCTTCCCCCTCTTCGGAGATCGGCTCCGAAGGCGGCGTGCATCAGAGCGACCGCGGGCGGCCAAAGACGACCCAACAGGTCAGAAGAGGCCAGGAACAACACGCACGCGAGAAGCCCAAACGAGACCCCACGAGGTCGCGAAGATAGACCCGAACGGAAGCGAGTAGCAGCACGCAGCGTCAGCAACGCCTGGCCGAGATCTGCCGACAGACCCACCCCAGACCTCCGATGACTCGACCTTTTCGAGCCGCTGGCCCCCCAGACACTCTCCCTTGGTAATGCTCCGGGTTGCGCACGGACAACTCCCCAGGTAGTCCCAACTGGCCTCAGCAGCCCCCCGAATAGTCTGGGGCGGTCTCACACTCCGACACTGGGGCGCGGAGCAACAACCCAGGGACGCCACCCGAGACAGCGCCAGGGTGTCGAGACCGCCCCTCGGGGGTCCTGTGAAGGCCAGCTGGGACGGGGGGCTGTCTGCGCGCAGGCCGAAGCCTCACCACCTCCCCGCCTCCCTGGGACCGACTTCTCATCCCGAGAGTCGTCTGCCACGGCCCTGGGTGCCTGGGCACGGCCTCCCAGGACCCCGATCACGGCGGAACGATTCGCCGCCGCGGTTTCTCCTCGAGCCGCCCGAGAACTGCGGGGGTCCTCGTGGCTCACCAGCCAGCCGACCGACCTCGTCGCGGCGCTCTTCGGCGCTCTTGGGGGGCGGGGCGGGGGGGTATCTCGAGAGCCCGCCGTGCGGGCGGCTGGCCCACCCCTCGGGGCAGTGGCCCTGGAAGTGCAGCCACGACGCTGCGGTAAGGACCGCTTTTGGTTCGGAAGGGGCTCGTTCCTTGTGTCATGCCGTGATTGTTCCTCTAGCCCTCCTTGTGCAGCTCGTGCACCCAGGCCCTCCTGGTGCCAAACAGTGGCTTCGTTTCTGATGTAGGGCACGACTTTCGAAAGAGAGACAGATAACGAAAGAGAGAGAGAGAGAGAAACATATAGAGAGAGAGTGAGAGAGAGAGAGAGAGAGAGAGAGAGCGCGGGTTCCCGCGAAGGCGCATGTCGCGGGCGCACCTGCCTCGACGCCGTCGGCCACGCCGACGTCGGAGGAGTGTGGCGGTGGTGGCGGCGGCCAGAACAAGAAGAGGAGGAGGAGGAAGAGAATGAGGATGAGGATGATGATGAGGAGGAGGAAGAGGAGGAGGAGGAGGGGGAGGAGGAGGGAAATGAAGATGAGGATGAGGATGAGGCGGGGGAAGGAGAAAGTACGCGATCCACAGAGGGGCGCCCTAGTGACGGACACCACCCTGAATACAATGGGAGGAGGAGAAGGAGGAGGAGGAGGAGGAGAAGAAGGAGGAGGAGGAGGAGGAGGAGAAGGAGGAGGAGGAGGAGGTGGAGGAGGAGGGGGACCAGTGTAAACCCAAGAGCTGGCGAGCTCTCAACCGATTCCGCGGGGCGCGCCTCTGGCCCGGCGGGCGGGGCGCGGTGGGCCCGTACGGTCTCTCGGTCGTCGGTCGGGGCCGCGGCGGGCGAAGATGTGGCGGGGGGGGGAGCTGCACTGGGGTGGCTCGACGGCCAGTGTGGCTGCCTGCCAGGTGAGGCTTCGGGTTGCGCGCAGGCCCCCCCCCCCCAGGTACAGTCAACCCGTAGAAGAAGGACGCGCGATAAGGATGCAAGGGCCTGGGAAGGCCATGCCGACACACTTTGCGAGCGGGGCGCGGCCAGCGAAAGCGGCCAAGGCTGGGCCGAAGGTGCAATGATGCAAGTGTAACCCTGGAAATTTGCTCATCCTTACCGTGCTGGTTGACTGCAGGTGAGGCTGCGGGCTGCACACAGACTGGCCCCCAGGTGGTCCCAACTGGCCTCAACAGGCCCCCCGACAACCCAGGGGCGGTCTCGACGCCCTGGAGCCAGCGGGGCTGCCGAGGCCGCCCCAAACTGCTCGGGGGACCTGCTGAAGCCCGCCGGGACTCCCCGGGTGGGCGGGCTGCCTGCGAGCAGCCGGGAGCCTCACCGGCCTGCTCACTCCTGCGCACAGCGGTCCCGCAGCATCACGGGCGGCCGACGCGAGGCGGCTGGCGCACGGAGGCTTGGCGGGCGTCCCGCCCCACGTCCGCGGCACCGACCTCTGCGGAAGGGCCGCGGCATCCAGGAAATTATTCTGGCGAGAGATCCGACTAGATGCACTTGTGAATACCGCGGTGGTGCGTATCCTCTTCGGTGGAGCTCCCTATGGGGCCCGAAACGTGTGAGGGGTGTGCCAAACAGAATAGCCAGGAGAGAGGAGGTGGAAGAGGCGGCCGAGGAGGAGGCGCAGGAGACGAGCATCGAAGGATCCACCCATCTTGCCCGTCTGGCACCGCCCCCAAGCTCGCCTGTGGCGAGCTCGCGGACCCGCGGGAGTTGGAGCCGCAGTGGCCGAGGAGGAGACGGAAGAAGGGAACAGAGCGTGAACCTGATCGGACAAGTACGGGAAGCGCCGCTTGAGTCCAATGTGCGTATTTGGCGAAGAAGAAGAGAAGGAAGGCGAGGGCGACGAAGAAGCGATGACGAGGACGACGTTGAGAACGTGAGGATAGCGAGGAGGAGCAGGAGGACAAAGAGGAGGATGAGCAGCACAAGGACGAGGACGAAGAGAACGAGGGCGAATACGAGGAGGAATGTGGAGGACGGGGGAAGAGAGTGTGAATCCGCCTCTGCCGTGCCTTTCGCACGTTGAGGCGTGACAAGGTGCCAAAGGCTGTCTGGTGGGGTTTCTGTATTGTACCGCGTCCATCCGCGTGCGTCGCCCCCCCTCCTGAGGCCAAAGTCCCTTGACAAAAACAGTGGGTCCGCCCTCCCGAGGCCAAGATCCCTCGTTGAAAAAACCCGTGTCCGCAACCCGAGCTTCCAGGACGGCCCATGCAGGCAGCCAAAGAAACGAAGATGGCCCAAGGTCTCTCGAAGACTGCCTAACGTGGCCCCAGGGCTGCCCAACATGGCCTCAAGACGATGTCTCCAAGAGGGCCCAAAAGGGTCACACGAAGACCTCCAACTGGGAAAGAAGAAACAATCCTCATTGACCTCCCTCTGGGTTTTGAATGATTTCCTATTCTCGCCTTTTCGTGCTTCCGTCCGCTAAGACGGCCCAATTAGCCTCCATGATCGGCCCAATGCGGCCCAAAAGGCCCCGATGAGGGTCCCAAGATGGCCCAAGAGGCCCCATGATGGCCCAAGAGGCATGCATCGAAGACGGCCCCAAGACTGCCCAAGACGGCCTCCCGTGGTACCCAAGACGGCCTTATTTGACCTTTTGGCAGCCCAAAGCGGCCCCCACGACGGCCCCAAGGTACCTATAATACGGTTAAGAGGGCCCCACGACGGCTCAACCAGCATCATCACCACCACCACCATCACAATCATCCTCACAAGTGCCATCATCATCATCATCATCATCATCATCATCATCATCATCATCATCATCAGCAGCATCAGCATCAGCATCAGCACCATCAGCATCAGCATCATCATCATGAGCATCATCATCGCCGCCACGGCCATCGTCATCATCCTCATCCTCATCTTCCTCCTCCTCCTCCTCCTCCTCATCAGCATCTTCATCATTGCCGAGCATCACCATCACCGTCGTCGCCATCATCGTAATCCTCATCCTCCTCGTCATCACCATCATCATCCTCATCCTCATCCTCATCCTGATGCTCATCCTCATCCTCATCCTCATCTTCATCAGCATCCTCGTTTCTCATCATCATCCTCATCCTCTTCCTCAGCCTTCACCTCATCACCATCATCTTCATCATCATCATCATCACCACCACCACCATCATCAGCAGCACCGTCACTACCACCACCACCACCATCACCATCACCACCACCACCACCACCACCATCATCATCATCATCATCATCATCATCATCATCATCATCATCATCATCATCATCATCAGCATCATCCTTATGACTACTATCATCATCAGCATCATGACCATCATCATAATGATCATCATCGCCATCAAACTCATTGTCGCCACCGCCATCGGCATATATTCATCATCCTCATCCTCATCTTCCTCCTCCTCCTCATCATCAGCATCATCAGCTTCATCATATTCAAGCATCCCCATCACCGTCGTCGCCATCATCGCAATCCTCATCCTCCTCATCATCACCACCACCATCCTCATCCTCGTCCTCATCCTCATCCTCATCCTCACCCTCCTCATCATCATTATCATCATCATCGCTCCTCATCGTCATCCTCTTCCGCAGCCTTCCCCTCATCACCATTTTCGTCATCATCATCATCATCATCATCATCATCATCATCATCATCATCATCATCGCCATCACCATAATCATCACCACCGCATCCATCATCATCATCATCATCATCATCGTTGTTGTCCTCGTCGTCCTCACCACCATCATCATCAATCTCATCAACATCGTCACCAGCACCACCACCACCACCGTCACCATCATTTTCACCACCATCACTATCTCATCACCATCACCATCAACATCACAATTATTGTCCTCATCCAGATCCTCATCCTCATCCTCATCATCCTCGTTCCTCATCCTCATCCTCTTCCCCCTCCTCCTCCTCCTCCTCATCATCATCAAAATCATCATCAGCGTCGTCACCATCATCATCATCATCATCATCATCATCATCATCATCATGAACATGCTTTCCAGCAGCAGCGACGCCATCATCATCATCACCATCACCATCACCATCACCATCATCATGATCATCACCGTGAGCATCATCGTCATCATCAACATTCTCACATACATTATCACAAGCATGATCATCATCATCACCACCATCAGCAGCACCATCACCATCACCATCACCATCACCATCACCATCACCATCACCATCATCATCATCATCATCATCATCATCATCATCATCATCATCATCATCATCATCATCATCATCATCATCATCATCATCATCATCGTCAACATCATCATCCCCGTCCTCCGCCTCCTCCTCGTCCTCATCCTGATCCTCCTCACCATCCCAATCGCGGTCTCCCACCCTCGAAGAGTCGCCACCCAGAATGCTGGGCTGGCACGGTGGCGGGACTTGCCACAGGCAGCCGGATGTAGGAGGTGGACCAGGAGCGGAAGCGACCGAAGCCCAAACTGCCACTCGGAAGGCAAAGGCTCGCCCCCGACCGCCCCCCCAGCGAAGTCCCGAAAGCATCCGAAAACCGTGGCGCCCACCATGCTGCATGTGCCGCATCAGCGACGAAAAGAACCGGATCTTACGCGAGATGACACAGCGAACGTGCGCGGTGCCTTACGCGGGCCGCCAGCGCGGCACGCTACACTGGGAACGAGGGCGCTTACACGCGACCTCACGCAGGCAGCATACGCGCCAGTGTCGGCGAAGGCGAACCCGTTTTCCTTTGCCGCTCACATGGCTCTAGTGAGAGAGGGGCGAAGCGACGCATAGAGCAGAAGGAAAACGGTACAGGGACAAGAAATTCGGACCCTGTGGCGCAAGATGTCTACCCCGGACCCGTCAAATTCATATCGAGGGTGCGGCAGTGTAGGAGGCTTGAGTGAACAGAAGCATTCGAGCTCTGAAGCCATCACCCATACTGAAACCTGCTTGATTTCTGGGGCGGGGGGGAGGATCATAATCCCCTCACGTATGTAAGAGTTCGGAATATGGTCCATCTACTGGAGGAGGGGGAAGAGAAGAAGGAGGAGGAGGACGAGGAGGAGAAGGAGGAGGAGGGGAAAGCGGAGATATATACCGCCAACTTGGAATTGACTAGTCCCCGCCGGACCTCCTTCTCCGTCTTTAGTACCTTCGTCTGGATCTGCAGCTGTGAAATCTGGTCGCCGCCTCTTTTTCACTTGTAAGGCGCCTGGCCGTCCACCCCCCCGTCTCGCCATCCGCGACGGGGTGAGATTCCAAACGAGCGGGTGAGATCTCAACAGAAGGGTTAATACTCCAACGGTCGAACTCGCCGTGGCGGGAGAGATGCAAACGAAGGCAATACACTCATTCACGAATCGATTCGCATTACAGTCGTGAGTACATGAGTGCATGAGCAGGATGAGATTCCTTCAGACAGCGAGGTCTTTTCACACTGCCCTCAGCTTTTCATTTGTCAGTTGAATTTTTGGGCGAGCGTGGCGAGCGGCAGTGCGATGATGTGCTCAGAAGAATTTCAAGACCTTAAAGCGTCGAAGGTCTCCAATTCAGTCAAAAGGATGGAGGCTGCGGGAGGGTCGGCGCGGAGTGCTCCGCCGCGCGCAGAGGGGGGAGGGGGGAGGAGGATGAGGAGGGGGGAGGATGAGGAGGAGGAGGAGGAGGAGGAGGAGGAGGAGGAGGAGGAGGAGGAGAAGGAGGAGGAGGAGGCTGGGCCATTCTCAAAAACTGGCGATCGCCCGAAACTTCCTTACAACATCCTGAGGCCCGCGATTCGCAATGGTGCAGCAGTTGCACGGACGAAGGGCGGCTCGATCTCAAAGTGGGGCTCTCGCCCTGGCACCGCGCACCGTCGTCACAATCATATTCTAAACTTGCACGGGATCAAGTTTTTTCTATTAGTTAAAAAAATAAAAAAAAAACTGCGGTGTTTGCCTCAGCGTCGCGAGCATGCGTTGCAACAATCTCCAACAGTTAAACAGTACAAGGATGGAGCGCGCTTCGTTTTCGCGCTTCGTTTTCAAAGTGCGGCTCTCGCCAAGAGTCTTCCCCAAACGCCATGCCGAGTGATTCCAAGGTGTGCAACAGCTGCACGGATGCCAGGCGGCCCTTTTTCAAGTTGGGGCTCTCGCCTGGAACTGCTGCAAGTTTGAAGGTCCTGAACCTCGAACCTGCACAGGACGCACCCTGCTGGAGAGCATCTCAGGTTCAGCACGGTGCTGTCGACACTTTATTGACGTCCTGCCCTTCTGTGCACGTCGGTCGGGAGAAGTAGGTAAACACATGAAGTAGGAATGCGGATAAAGTGGATTGCGTCCAGGCCCTCCCAGAGAATAACAAAACACAGCCAACTCATGTCGACTCTTGAAGCAGGAAGGCGCTCGAAGTGGAGTGGGATCTGGGAACCCAAAAATACCTGCTTTCAACGACCGGCGTGCATTGCTATCCTGCCCTTCTGTACCGCTGTAGCTGGAAGGAGAGAGGGTGGAGCCTCCACGACCAGGGGGTCTGGCCCGAGTGGCGGGCCCACTGGGCGCCCGCCATGCCAGGGGGGGGCACCCCCCGCAGTGGGAAGGCCTCCTCGCACGCACTCTCGGGAGGGGGGAGGCCTTGCGTCGGGAGGGGTACACGTCGGTCGGGAGAAGTAGGTGAAAGCATGAAGTGTAGGAAGGCGGACAAAGTGGATTGGGCCCAGGTCCTCCCAGATAATAACAGCAGACAGCAGAAGCGTCTCGATTCTTGAGGTAGGAAGGCGCTTGAAGTGGATTGGGACCTGGGAGTCCAAGAGTACCTACTTTCAACGACCAGCGTGTATGTTACAGCATCGCTGATGCGTCATGGGTTGACTCTGGTCCTCCTCCTCCTCCTCCTGCCGCGTGGCTGGAGCGCAGCGGTCTCTTCCTCGCCGCGCCGCCCGCCTGCCGCCCCACGGCTGAGTGGACGATGGGCAAGGCCTCTTCTCGTCGAGGTGGGCGACCGAGGAGTGAGCACTCTACTCGGATCGCCTCCTCCTCCGCCTCCTCCTCCTCCTTCTCCTCCTCCTCCTCCCCCCGCTTTCCCGCTGGGAAGGGAGACGGGGCCCAACCATCCGACGCCATGCCTCTTTCGTGACATGCCCCCCCCGGATTTCTCGATCCCATTCCGAATACCAGCTCTTTTCTTCCCGGGCAATTCTTATGATGGCTCCAGTCTCGTGTTTTTCCGTGACGCCCGAAGTCTGCTCCCCCCCCATCCCTGAAGGACTACCTTTGACTTGGCCTGGGCTGCATTCTGACCAGACGCTCGGGGCGGCGCCAGTCGTGTCGACGAAGGTCCCCCAGAAGCCCATGCTTCATCAACAACTGACAATAAAACAAACTCTCGATCCTCCTCCCCGAACCTAGGCCTTTGAGGCTCCCAGAAGTCCCAACAACAAGCACGGAGAAAAGGAGGACGAACCCGCAACAACTGCACGCAAGCAAACAAAAACGGTTGACGGCAACCAGCACGCACGACTTCGGAAGCCGCGCATGATGTCCTCTTCTGGGGGTCGGCGGACTGTCGTACGCCTTTTGGGTACCCCAGCCCTCGATCCTCCTTCCCGGCCCCCGACGTCATTTCCACAGGATGAATCCCTGGAGATCTCGACCCCTTCCCTGTGGCCTGCCTTCCATCGCGGCCTGTTCTTGACAGGTTAAAAAGGCCTTGGCAGGACGAACGCTGCTAGAACCTTCCGCCGCGCTTCTTCACGCCAAGGATGGGCTGGGTCCTCCTCCTCCTCCTCCTCCTCCTCCTCCTCGTCCTCTCCCTCGCACATATCCTCCTCCTCCTCCCCCTCCTCCTCATCCTCCTCTTCCTCCTCCTCCGCATCAGCATGTTCCTATTTCTCTTCCTCGCTCACGTCACTGACCGGGATCGGTCTTTAGAAACCTCACTCGTCGAGTACAAACCAGTTCCTCCTCCTCCTCCTCCTCCTCTTCCTCGTCCTGCGCCTCCTCCTCCTCCTCCTCTTCCTCCTCCTCCTGCGCCTCCTCCTCCTCCTCCTCCACCTCCTCCTCCTCCTCTTCCTCCCCGTCCTTCTTGACAGGGGGGCTGCCGCCGCCGCGCCTTGGCCTCCGGGCTCGCCTCCTCTCTGGCGCTGCTGGGCGACACGGGGCTCGCGCTCCCGCGGCAGTCGTCGGAGAGCTTGCCCGCGAGGACCTCGGTGAGCCCTCCCTGTGGGGGAGAAGCCGCGACGAGGGTCAACGCTCGAGGATCGAGGCTCTCGGGCGTGATCGTCTGGTGCCTCCCACGTCGGTTCCGAGCAGGTGGGGTCGGAGGATCGCGCCGCATCGCCGACGCATCCCCAAGGCATCGGCGACGCATCGGCGACGTCGGCGACGCATCGGCGCAGTCGGCGTGGAGGAAGTCGGCCTGCGCATCGAGCCGCACCGCCGATGCCTCGCCGATGCCTCGGCCGCCAGAGGCCCGACGTGCGGCCCCGAAGCCGCCCGGGGCTCAAACCTCCTCGCGCCGCGGAGCACACCGGGACGTGGAACCCCGAGCCGTCTGCGGGCCTCTGGGGGCCCCTTGCCCGGGGCCGTCCGAGCACGGCTCGGAACGAAACAGCTGTTCCCTGGGGCGGGGTCGGGAGCTCGGGGAGCCCCCGCGGCGCCACAGATCACGATGTCGGAGGCCCCCCGGGCGCAGGAGCCTCGAGGATCCAGGAGTGCGCGCAGGAGGCGCGGCCACGAGCCTTCCGCGGCGGGGCCGCGGGCGCAGCGCCGCGAGGCGGGAGCGGGGCTCACCGCGGGGGAGGCCGGCCCTCCGGCCCGCAGGAGACGAGCCGAGGGTGCACAGGCGGGGCCGCTGCGGGGGCCGCCGGGGGCGCAGCTGGGCCCGCCGTGCGTGGGCGCTGTGGCGGGCCTTCCAGCGGGTGCCGCCGTGCCCGCTGGAGCCGCCCGCGGGCGCGGGCCGCCCCCGCCCGCGCGCCGGGTGGCCGCGTTGGGCCGGGACTCGGCCCAAGTCCCGTTGGGCCGGGTGGCCGCGTTGGGCCGCCCCCGCCCGCGCGCTGGGTTTTGGACGCCCGAAATGGGTACGGAAGAAATGGGTACAGTGCCCAAGAACAAATGTTGTCCCAAAGCAACAGCGGCCGCTGTTGGGCAGGCGGCCTTCTGTCTCAAATGTGCACAGGCCGCCGGCGGCGCGGACAGCGAGCCCTGTTCAGAATGAACAAAAACTGCTGTTGGGCATTGTACCCATTCTTCCCGTGCCCATTTCGGGCGTCCAGATGGGTGGCCGCGTTGGGCCGGGACTCGGCCCAAGTCCCGCGCGGGCGGCGCGCCCCGCCGGGGCACGTCCGGGGCCGTGCCAGCAAGGCCCCGGGCGGCGCGCCGCGCCAGGTGAGCGGCCGGGGGGCAACCGCAGCCGAGGTCGGCGAAGGGCCGCGAGCCAGATCCCCGAAGCCGCGTCGACGGGGGCGGCGCGTCCGTGCTCGTGGAAAAACTTCTTGTGGAGGTGGTAGACGTGGAACGCGAGCACAAGCCCACGGAGAACCGCCCTACAGGACCACTCGTTGGCGTGCTCGGCCGGGCTGCCCAGCCAACGACGGCCGATAGGACCTGGCAACCTGGCAGGAAGGAGCGCGGCAGCGCCACGCAGTGCCAGAGCCTCCTGCACGAGTGGTAGTGCAGAGTGTCGTCCGCCGCGCCCTCGCAGCCGAACAAGCAAGGTCGCGGCTGCATGATGTGTATGCGGCCAGCCGAAGTCCATCCCCCTCCCAAGGTCTTGAGGGCCGCCCGCTGCCGCGATGGAGGCACATGCGCCAGCAGACCGCGCAGCGCGGCCCAGCGGCCTTGCATCGCGAGCGGCGCGCCAAGTCCCCAGGCGTGGGGCCGCTTCCGTAGAGCCACCACCTTTGACGCGGGGTCAAGCGCAGCGGGCAAGGAGCGGCTCAAGGACGTCTGTAGCATGGGCTTCCTCGTCAGCAACGCTGCCGCCCTCTGCTCCGCCTCCGCGGCGGTGATGGCTGCCCAAATCCGCTGCACTGGGATGTGCGGCTGGGCCTGCCGGGCCACCATGCTCGCGTATTCCTGGACGATGGCTCTGCGTAGAATCCAAAGGGTCGGGGGAAGTCGTCCCCACGGGGGTTGCCCCTCGGCTTCCGTGGCGAGCCGCAGCACGAGCGCCTGCCAGCCAGAAACCGTCGTTCGCACCGCGCGCCATCGGACAACCAGTGTGTAACCCTGGGAAGCAATTAGTAACCCCCCCCCCCCCTCATCAGAGGAATTTATAACGCTTCCGGCACCGGGGCCGGGGCGGAAGCGATATCCCCCGCAGGTCACCAGAGGTCCGCGGAGGGGAGGTCCCCGGAGGTTCCCAGGAGGCATCCAGAAAGGCCTCCACAAGCCTCTGAATGCCCAGTCCCCTTGTAGTCCAGAGCCCAGCGACAAGGCACACCTGCCCAGAGTCGCTTCCTGTGATTCTGTGCGTTTCTGTAAGATTCCTCAGTGATTCCTCTGATACTCCGATTGGCTTCTTTTGAGATTCCTTGCCGTTTTCATTGTGATTATTTTAGGACTCCTTTGAGACTCCTCTGGTGTTCCTTTGATGTTATTCTGGGGGCCCCTTGAGGCTCCGGTCATATCCCTTTGATGCCCCATTGCTTGAGAGCATCACATCGACATCTGGGGCCGGTGGATTATTTTATTTTTAATAAGTGTGCTAACATATCGCGGGGGGGTTCGCGGAATGCGTCTGCGATATCTTTCCGTGGACTCTCCCATAGGATCCCCTGAAAGAATCAATTTCCCTAGTGCAGTCGCAATAGGGATTGCTTATGTCCATGCGAACCCGCGTTTTCCAAATTCCTTAGATTCCTTTGTGGTTCGTTTGAGCTGCCGCTGAGATGCCTTTGCGATTTTTGTTGGGCTCCTTTGAGATTGCTTTGAACTTCCATTGGTTCCTTCGATATCATGCGTGGGATTCCTTGTGATATTCTTATGGGATTCCTTTGGGGGTCCTTTCAAGTTCCTCTGACATTCCTTCGACAATCCCTGAAGGGAGCATCACATCGACCTCCGGTGCCTGTGGATTATTTTATTTTCAAAAAATGTGCTAACATATCACGGGGGGGTTCGCGGAATCCGTCTGCGATATCCCTCCGTGGACTCTCCCATAGGACCCCGTGAAAAAACAATTTCCTTACTGCGGCCGCAATAGGGTTTGCTTATGTCCACGCGAGCCCGCGTTTTCCAGATTCCTTAGATTCCTTCGTGATTCGTTTGAGCTGCCGCTGAGATCCCTTTGCGATTTCTGTGGGGTTCCTTTGAGATTACTTTGAATTTCCAATCGGGTTCCTTTGATATTCTGCGTGGGCTTCCTTCTGAGATTCCTCTGGGATTCCTTTGGGGGGTCCTTTCAAGTATAGTTGCTTGCGGTGATTTCATTGTTTGTCATTTTTGATTTAATTACCTTTGATTTCCGATGCGCGTCAGTTTCCCAGTGTTCTAGCAAGGCGGGAACCCATTGGCAAGCGTTCGTGCGCGTTGGTTCTTCAGGCTGTCGCCTCGCGTTGCCGCCAACTTCGGGCCCGGGGGGGCAAATTAATTATTGGATTATTATATCTTATTTTTTAATGTGCTAACGATATCGCTGGAGGACGCCGCACAAAATGATTATTTATTTTATTTTCTGTGCTAGCGATATCGCCGGGGGGTTTACTGTTTGCTTCCTGGGGTTAAGGCTGAAGCGCCACCGGCGCAAGAAACTTGAACCCGCTCGCCAAAGCCAGCAGGTCCGTATTACGGAAAGGGGGGGCGGGAGTCGCAGGACCTTGTGGAGCAACATACGCTCGCGCCTGCAGGCCGCAGGGTGCGTTGAGAAGAACTGGGCCACGTACGACAAGCAGCTGATGCTGGCAGTGTTGTGGGCCCGCGCCGAGAGGCTCGAAAGTGATCCTGACGCTCCACTTGCACGGCTCCGGCGCCACCACTTCAAGCAGGGCAGCTCCCAGACCGCGTCGAGGGGCGCTGTCGGCACCATGAAGGCGCCCAGAAACTTCGCTTTGCCGTCGATCTGGAAGAAATCCCACTCGCACCTCGTCTCGGCCAGCCTCTCGTGCAGCGCCTGCGCCAGTGCCGCGTCGCAGGCTGCCCACAGGGGGGCCGTGGCGCATTTTCTGGCCGCCAGGGCGAGGCTCGCCAAAGCCTGGACCTGAGAGAAGACCGCCGCCACCTGGGCCATCCTCGTCAGTCGCAGCAGCAGGCCCAAGTCATCCGCCCAGGCGGACAGCATGCCCTCGTCGCTGACCGCGGCCAGCAGGGCCCTCGCCACCTGGTCCATGGAGACGCACCCGCGCGTCCCGCTGAGGGCGCCCCCCTGCGTCGCTCCGCCGAGCGACGCAAACAGGAAGCAAGAGGCGCGGGACTCGGCCAGCCCGCAGCACGCTGCCGTTTCTACGCACTTCATGCACGGCGCGCCGATGACGTCGACGCAACCGCGCGGTATCCCGCTGCGCGGCAGGCAGCGCTCTACCCATCGCCTGACAAGCGACGGGAACGCCGCCTTGAAGTCGAAGGCGTGAACATACAGTCAGAAACCCCAGTAAGGACGCGCGGTGAGGGCGCAAGACCCTTGGAAGCCGAAGTTGGGATTTCTGGGGCGGCGGACGACGAAAACCCCAAGGACGCAAGAGCAAGGAAGAGCAAGGACGCCAGGGTACCCTGAGCAAAGTCGCGCGTCCTTATGAGGGTGTTTGACTGTAGGCCACCGCGCGAGCGCGGACGGGGACAGGCCCGCGCGCCTGCACTCGGCAGCCACGGCGGGGCGGCCAGGAACGAATCCCTTTCCGGGCCTCGTGGGTCGGGGTCGCCGCGTGCCGTTGCAGTATCCTGTCCGAGCAGCTGGCGATCAGCTTGGTGTCAAAGACGAGCGTGCGCGGCGTAAAATCCAGGCCAGACTATACATTTCTTTAATATATATATATATATATATATAGACACATGCATATGTATATCATTGCATGCATCCATGTAACTGTTTGCAATGCTTCAAACGAATTCGTGCGGAACTACGGCGTGAACCGCATTTCGAACACGTACTGGCCTCCATCCTTGCAACGGCCGGGAAATATTCAAACGAGCATGCGCGGCTCTATAACGAGAGCCGCATTTTGGAAGCAACTGGCCCTCCATCTTTGTATTGGAAATGTTCGAAACGAACGTGCGTGGCGCTAAGGCGAGAGCCGTGGTTTGGAAGCCACCTGTCTTCTATCCCTGTATCGGCAAGGGTATCTAGCTTCATATTCGTCATTTGTGACGGAATATTTAGCGGAACGCCTGGCCAGCCTATGGATACGTCTGGTGGTGTGACGAGGGGGTGCTTATCATAAGAAAGACGGTTGGAGGAGGGAGAGGACGAGGCGAAGTAGAAGCAGGAGCAAGAGCAGGAGGCCGACGACGAGGACGGGGGGGATGATTGAGAGGGGAAAGGGGATCGTGAAGGAGAAAGAAGGAGGGGGGAGGAGGACATAGGATGACGGCTCCCCCTCCCTCTCTCCCAGCCGCAGCTGATGTAGCTGATGACCGCCCTTCCTCTGTTCTCCCTCCCTCCTTCCCAGCCGTAGCTTATGCAGTGTATGACCGCCCCTCCTCCGCTCTCCCTTCCTCGTCCCCAGCCACAGCTTGTGCATCCGATGGCCGCCCTTCCCCTGCTTCCTCCCCCCCCCTCTCCCTGCCGCAGCCTGCAACTGATGCAGCCGCTGGCCGCCCCTCCTCTGCTCTCCCTCCCTCTCTCTCTCCCTCCCTCTCTCTCTCTCCCTCCCTCTGGCTCCCCCTTTCTCTCTCTCTCTCCCTCCCTCCCTCTCTCTTTCCCAGGCGCATCCGGCGCGTCAGACTGCAAGAGCCCTGCCTCAAGCGTGTCGGCGCATCGCTTTCACTGCCGCCCCCTTCCGCCTGTTGATCCGCCGCCGGTCTGCTTCCGCCGGCTTCCGCGGAGGGCGCGATGGCGCCGAAGGCGAGGCCGCTTCTGGAAGGCTCTGTGTTGCCAGTGGCCACACCCGCCCCAGATCTCGGCAACCTGGGGCGGCAACCATCTGGATCTCGCCGACCTCGGGCGGGCGCGGGCCGCTGTCAGAGCGCGCTGCTGCTGCCGTGCCTCTCTTGCGCCTCCTCCTATGCATCCACCTCCGGGGGCGAGGAGCTGAGGACTGGCCTCTCCTGGGGCCTTTTCTTGCCCTCGTCGCATCGATGCAGATCGCGGAAGTCCACGAAGCTTAGAGCATCGAAGAAGCGCCCGTGAACCAAAAAAGAGATGCTGATCTACGGCCAAGACATGCACGACTGCGGTGGCGAAACTTGTGCTGGCTAATGGGCCGTCAGCTCGAGCCGGAAGATACCGGGGGCCTCCCATGACTGAGCAGCGCCAGGTTGCCTGCTGCCTCTGACGCATCTCCGCTCGTCACCACATTGGGGCCTCCTGGAGCCTCTTGGGGCTTCTTGGGGGCCTCTTAAGGGGCCTCTTGCGGGCCTCCCGGGCCGTCTTCAGGCTCTCTGGGCGCGTCACCTTCGGACGCCGTCGTGGGGGCCTCTTGGGGCCGTTTGGGGCACTTTTGGGGCTCGTCGGGGGGGGGGGCCTCGGTGGCCGTCTTGGGGAGGTGCCACTGGCTGTCCCTCCCAGAGAGCTGCTTCAAGACCTGCCGCCTCTCTTAGAGGTGGCGCGGCAGTTCTGACGCCTGCCACTGTGTGGCATGAGGGCGACGAAGAGAATCCTGAAGAGGAGGAATGCGACGGAGGAGATAGAACGACGAGTCAGCAATGCGTCCGAAACAGATGACGGGTTCCGAAAACCCTGAAGCAAAAAACTGTGCCTCTTCTTGGGAGGCGGCTTTGACTGTTACTTCCGCCGCCTTCCGCCGGCCTTCCGTTGCCTTCCGCCGAGGAAGAGCTGGCACCTTATCGACCCCTCGAAGGCGAGACCCTTCCTTGAACCCGCCAAATGACGGCGACGGAGCCGCCGAGCGCAACTGGCAACGAGCATCGCTTTGTGAGCCAGGACGTGGGATCAAGGATGGCCCCTGCGCTTCGATGCGTTCCTCTGTTGATGGGCGCTGCGCAGTGAACGCTGCGCGTGAAGCGTGGGCTCATTCGGATTCGTGCAATTCGCCGTCACCTCCTGAGGACCCCCAGGCTGTGAGCGATCACGTTGCGTTGGCTTCAATGCTGGTGTACTTGGCGTAGGAGATTGAATCTAGCAGTTGGGCCTGCCCCCGGCTCCCTAGAGCGTCCTATCGCCCCCTCCCAGGACGCCTTACGATTCCTGGCCCAGCGGACCCTACCAAATTACACAAGTTTCGTGTTCCCAAGGCCATGCGCCCTCATAATTTGGGCTGGATCGACGCTGCCAGGGCCACGAATCGAAATCAATTCAAGGGATCCGTGCTCCCAAGGCCACTTGTAATTTACATTGGGTCCCGCTGCCAGGGCCACGATCCCATTCGAATTAAGCCGGATCCAGGCTACCATGGCCACGATCCCTCACTAATTACTCTGAGTCCGTGGTCCAGAAAGCTTACGGTCCAACGTAATTCACGCTGGATCCCTACTCCAAGGGCCGCAGTCCCTTGAAACATACATGTCGGGCACAACGGGAAACGCTGGTGCTTGAGTCTCTTGTTGTCTGTGCTGCCGACTGCCCTCGCTCTCGGCTGCTTGGTGCCCTTAGGCGTTGCTTGCTGCTGCGCGCCTTTGCTTGCTGCTGCGTGCTGCTGCTTCTTGCTTTCCCTCCCACGCTCCATCCCTTCTTGCTCCTCCTCATTTTCGTTGCTCCTCGTCGCTCTACCTTCTCTTCCTCCTCCTCCCCTTCCTCCTCCTCACTGCTCGTCCTCGCTCCTCCTCCTCCTCCTCCTCCTCCTCCTTATCACCTTCCTCCTCCTGTTCGCTCCGCCTCCTCACTGCTCCTCCTCACTGTTCCTCGTCGTTCCTCGCAGACCCCGCTCCTCCTCCGCTCGCCTCGCCCATGCTCTCGTTTTTTTCCGCGTCCTCGTTCTCCTCTCTCCTCCTTCACCTCACCTCGTTCGCCTCGGACGTCCATTCCCCGTGCATTTGTGGGTTTCGTACGTGTATTTTTGGCAATCTGACCCCAAATGCCTCTCGCTGATCCCCGCCGGGGAAAAATGCACACGTCCGAGCGATGCCAAGCCCCTCAGGTCATCTTAGACTCCTCTCGAAGCCAACAATACATGCGTGAAATAACGATGGTTTCAACGTTTACGTGTTTGGAAGTGTCTCGCGCGCAACAGGCTGTGATTACCAAGCTGCCTCGCCAACTTGCCCAGAAATCTATGATCAACACGTCTTCTATCGAGAAAACAGATTTCGATGCGTGTGGCCCTCCTGTAGCCCTCTGCGGCCACCCGAATTCCTCATTGGGTAAGGGCAATTTGATAAACAACTCCATCGCAATCCACATGTTCGGGGGATGTCACACGCGCCGCCGCTGCTTGGGGACCTTCACTTTTTAGCCTCCAGGGGCTTCACTTGGACTCTGTTGGGTCCCTCTTGGAGCTCTGCTGAGCCATCGTCATCCCTTTTGGAGACCAAGAGGCGAACTCTGAAAAACAACCCTTTCTGAGCTCCGGAAGTCTCACGCGAGGCGATTGCCTTCCGAATCTATTTCGGGCACAACGGGAAGCGCTGGTGCTTGAACCCGTTGCTGCGGATGCAGCTGATCGCCGTCGTCCGCGGCTGCTTCATGCTGCTCAGTTTTGCTTGCTGCTGCGCGCCTTTGCTTGCTGCTGCGTGCTGTTGCTTCCTGCTTTACCTCCCACGCTCCTTCTTCTCCTCCTCCTCCTCCTCCTCCTCCTCCTCCTCCTCACTGCTCATCCTCGCTCCTCCTCCTCCTCTTCCTCCTCTTCCTCCTCCTCCTCCTCCTTATCACCGTCCCCCTCCCCCTCGCATTCCTTACGCTGTCACTGCGAACTGGGTTGAGCTAGTTGGCTCTCGTGGCGGGCTTCTCTTACCCTGCAGCCAGTCGCATGGAGTTTTAGATTACACCGTCTCGCTGGCGGGTATCCTTCCCGCTTTCCCGCCCACCGGATGTAATGTTTTGCTTGCTTCCGCGGCGGGCATCTCGCACCTTGCCACCGGCTGACATCAATTCACACGGTTTTGGAGGCGGGCGCTTCTCAACCCGTCTGGGGGGCCACTCGGTGTGAGGCCGCCTGTTCTCGCTGCTGGCATCTCTGGCGCTGTCTCGACCGCCTCATTGAAGTCATTGCTCTTATGGCGGGCAGTACTAGCATCGTCATAACCAACTGATGTAGATGAATGTTCCAACCCTCCCGAGGTGGAGTCAGTTGTGCTGAGCGGAGCACTGCTCGCGTGACCATCTTCTTCTCCTCCCCTCCCGCCTCTTCCCTCCCCTGGGCACCCCTGCCTCCTGCTTCTTGCCCTCTCGCGCTCGCCCTTGGGGGCTGCTGACAGGGCAACGGGTGCCACTTCGGTAAGCACCTGGGAGGTCCAGCGCAGTGGCGCCCCACATGGGCCCAAATGAGAGCTCGCCCCTCTGAGGGCTAGGAGGAGTGAGGAGTGAGGAGTGAAGAGGGAGGAGGAGGAGGAGGAGGAGGAGGAGGAGGAGGAGGAGGAGGAGGAGGAGGAGGAGGAGGAGGACCATAATAAACCCAAGGCGCATCAACGATGTTGCAATAAACTCGCTCTTTCCGAATTCCCTCTCCATAGGGCTCCACAAGAATTTGCTCTTGCTGCGGGACGTGCCCCGTTGCAGGACAACCGTGTGAGAATCACCGGCCGTGCCACACCACAATGCCCGGGACTGCAACGCTGCGAGTCAGCGCTATTGTTGCGTCCGCGGCGGTTTCAACATGCGGCTCCCGCCCTGGCGCCGCGCACACTCGTCATACAAAGGTTTGCAGGAGATTCGCGGATGGAGCGCGGCGTATTTTCAACCTGTGGGTCCCGCTCTAACGCCGCGCGCATTCGCCTCAACGGTTTGCAAGAATTGTGCGGAGGGAGGGCGCATTCGTCTTAGCGCCGCGCACATTCGTCTTAAGCATTCCAACCGTTTCAAATATGCTCATGGTTGACGTCTCGTGAATCGTGTTCCGTGGACCCCTTGCAAACTTTTGAGCCGAATGCGCGCGGCGCTGAGGTGATAACCATATGTTGAAAACCACCGGCCCTCCGCCCGTAAAACTCTTGCAAGCCTTAGAAGACGAATGTGCGCAACGCTGAGGCGAGAGACGCATTTTGAAACATAACCGCCGTCCAACTATTAAAGCGTGCGGCACGAAGGCGATAACCACATTTTGAAAACTACCCGCCCTCCATCCGTGAAGCTCTTGCGAACTTGTAAGCTTCAAGCTTATCAATGTTAAGAAACTCTCAAGAGAAACGCCCGACCCGCCCTACCGACATGGCTCGGGGTGCGACAGGGGCCAATTATTCGTAAGGAAAAGAACTGGAGGAGGGTGGAGAAGTGATGGTGGAACATCCGGATGAAGGAAGAGAAGGAACATGGGGAGGGAGGGGATAGGAGGAGGAGGAGGAGGAGGAGGAGGAGGAGGAGGAGGAGGAGGAGGAGGAGGAGGAGGAGGAGGAGGAGGAGGGGAGGAGGAGGAAGAAGGAGGAGGAGGGAGGAGGAGGAGGAGGAGGAGGAGGAGGTTGACTGCCCATAAGGGGGGAGGGGGGGGGCAGGGAAGGAGGATGAGGATGAGGAGGAAGCCACGGGAGAGGATGTATACGCTTCACCCTCCCCGTCAGCCTGGCTGTCGCAATAAACATCAGCTCTCAAGGGCCAGCAACCAATGCAAGCCCACCCCTGCTCCCGTGGAATGTTTTGCTCGGAGTTTGCATGCCGTCGCTGAGGCTGCTTCCTGGGAGGACCTGGGACCTCCTCCTCCTCCTCCTCCTCCTCCTCCTCCTCCTCCTCCTCCTCTGAATAACAAAGGCGCCCAAACGCTTGCTGGCCACCCCGCGCGAGGCGCCGTGGCCTTGGCGGGGAACTCCCCGATGACGGACGCTATCAGGTCGTGCTCCTTGGCGGCGCGCGCAAGACTAGGGAGGCCATGGGGAAAGGGGAGATACGCGCGGAGCCATGCTGAGATGCTACTGCCGCGGCATCTTGACAGTGTGCATTCTCGCACACGGCCTTGATCACCGCGTGTCGCCGCGCGGGGACCTGGGCGATTCCCCGCCCTCCGCGCCCCCCCCTCCCCCCCTAAAATCCACTCCACACTCCTGCGCACCCTGGTTGCACGTCAATGGGTGCACCGTGTAGCGAGCGCCTGGTACTGCCAGTCGCATACCTGTATATTTCTAGTCGCATATATGTATATATATGTATATAATATCTCTGTGTTCATATATGCATATAGTTTATATATACAGAGATACAATGGTCGGGGCTCGCGCGCTGGCACTATTCGCTCCTCCCCGTCGCGCCACCAAACGCGCTCTCGGGGCAGGCGGGGGGCTTCGTCCGGGGGCTCTCCCCTGCGACTGCGAGCCCTTGACCCCGACCGCCGCAACATGTGCACGGATGCAGGGCGGCATCTCGGCAATCGCGCGCTCTCGCCCTCCACTCTGTGGGCACGCGCGAACTTGGATAGGCTTCATGCGTGGATCGGCGAAGCGGGCCTCGGCCCTGATCGAGCGTACTTCTGTATGGCCTCCGTGGCCGCACCGCCAATCAATGTTGCGGGCGTGTTGTGATTGACTATAGTCTGTCCGTGGAGAAGAGTCGTGGGTACGGTCGGACCTAGGCGAGAATCACACCCATCAAGAACACGGAGACCCTCCGACGGCCAAAACACACAGAACATCTCAGGGGGCCCTCCCAAGGATGCACACGAACATCCAACAACCACGACAAACACTAAGGTACCCTCCCGCAAGCCCCGCCGCCTTCTGAGAAGGCCTTCTCCTTCTCCTCTCCCCCCCCCCTCGCTCGCCGCCGAAGTCCGTCCGTGGATCCGAGATGTGGGCAAGCGAAGGGGCCGAGGATCGGGTCGGGCGAAAGGGGGGGATAGCAAGGGGGGGGGTTTGAGAATCAGCTCGCGTAGCTGATTTTCCCGGCGCCTCCCGGCGCCGGAGGCGGCCATGTATCGAGGAATGGGCCCCTCGGTGGGGCCGAAGCCAGCTACATGCAGCAGATTTCGTACCCCCCCTTTCCCTATCCCCCCCTTTCGTCCGGCCCGAGAGGAGGCACACCAACAGAAGCCCACCTCACGCAGCTGGCGCGCTGCCCGGGGGCCCTGGCGGATCGGCCGCCGGCGCACGCGGCCGAGAGCGGGCGGGGCGGGGCCCTAGGAGGGGGGGGGGGGGGGCAAGGCAGGGAGTCCCGGGGCGGGGGGGAGAGGAGGAGGGAGGCGGGTGGGGAGGAGAGGAGGAGGAGGAGGGAGAGGGCGGTGAGGATGAGGAGGAGGAGGAGGAGAGGAGGAGAGGAGGAGGGCGGGGAGGAGAAGGAGAGGAGAGGAGGAGGGGCGGGGACCCGGGGCAGGGCTGGGCGGGGAGGAGAGGAGGAGCGGCTGGTGACGACGGGCTGCAGCAGGCCCTGCGTGCGCCCAAGCAACACCCTGCAAGAGCACGGAGGCCCTCTCCGCCGGCCCAAACACGCAGAGCATCTCCAAGGGTGCCCTGCCCAGGATGCACCAGAGCATCCAGCAATGGGGGTAGGGGGGGAGGAGGGGGAGGAGGAGGAGGAGGAGGAGGAGGAGGAGGAGGAGGAGGAGGAGGAGGAGGAGGAGGAGGAGGAGGAGGAGGAGGAGGAGGAGGAGGAGGAGGTGGAGGAGGTGGAGGAGGTGGATGGAGGAGGAGGTGGAGGAGGCGCGAGGAGAGGCAGGCGGAGGGGAGGAGGAGGAGGAGGTGGAGGAGGAGGAGGTGGAGTGAGGAGGAGGAGGATGGTGGAGGAGGAGGAGCAGGAGCAGGAGGAGGAGGAGGAGGAGGAGGAGGAGGAGGAGGAGGAGGAGGAGGAAGCACGCAGAACACTAGGGTCCCCTCTCCGAACTGACCTCGATCTCGTACCCCCGGTCCGACTGCAGCGCGGAGGCGGCACGAACGGCCGCAGGCACGGGGCTGGGCATCGCAGGCGCACGCAGCCCAGCAAGCGCGGAAGGCAACGACAGATCGGCAGCGGCCCCGGCAGCCAAGCTCGGGCCCGGTTGGAGCGTGATCGGGAGGCGAAGCGGCCGCGCGGCTCCCTGGAGGTACCAGCCAACTGCGGCGAGGGTATTGGGTACAGAGCCCTCATATAAGGAAGCGCCAATTGAGGCCTGGCCATGGATAACACCGCTTAGATAAGGAAGCGCCAATTGAGGCCTGGCCATGGATCACACCGCCGCCATTATCAGATACGGCTGGTGACGACGGGCTGCAGCAGGTCCTGCGTGCGCCCAAGCAGCACCCTGCAAGAGCACGGAGGCCCTCTCCGCCGGCCCAAACACGCAGAACATCTCCAAGGGTGCCCTGCCCAGGATGAAACAAGAACATCCAGCAATAGGGGTAGGGGGGGAGGAGGAGGAGCAGGAGCAGGAGCAGGAGGAGGAGGAGGAGGAGGAGGAGGAGGAGGAGGAAGCACGCAGAACCCTACGGTCCCCTCCCTGAACTGACCTCGCTCTCATACCCCGGTCCGACTGCAGCGCGGAGGCGGCAGGAACGGCCGCAGGCGCGGGGCTGGGCACCGCAGGCGCACGCAGCCCAGCAAGCGCGGAATGCAGCGAGACATTCGCAGCGGCCCTGGCAGCCAAGCTCGGGCCCGGTTGGAGGGTGGTCGGGAGGAGAAGCGGCCGCGCGGCTCCCTGGCGGTACCAGCCAACCGCGGCGAGGGTGTTGGGTACAGAGCCCTTAGATAAGGAAGCGCCAATGGAGGCCTGGCCGTGGATACTCCAGATTTCGTAATAAAAGGGAGGGGGTCTGGACCCTCCAAGACAAGCCATTTCAGACCTCCCCCGTGGGAGAACCCTCCAAAACATCGTCCCCAGACCCCCCAGGCCCTCCAAGATAGTCTGGAAGAGACCCCCCCCCCGAAATGAGACCCCCCCTCCCTTTATTACGAAATCGGGGGGGGAAGCGGCCGCGCGGCTCCCTGGCGGTACCAGCCAACTGCGGTGAGGGTATTGGATGCAGAGCCCTTAGATAAGGAAACGCAGGAGGAGGAAGAGAAGAGGAGGAGGAGGAGGAGGAGGAGGAGGAGGAGGAGGAGGAGGAGGAGGAGGAGGAGGAGGAGGAGGAGGAGGAGGAGGAGGAGGAGCCAATTGAGGCCTGGCCACGGATAGCACCGCCGCCATTTATCAAGTAGGGAATCCTCCAGGGTCTGAGGCCTCCTGGGCAGACTCCTGCACGAGCGCCCCCCCCCCGTGTGCGGTGCGTCGCAGGTGCTGGCCGAGTGCCACGAGGTTCGGCTCGGGCGAAAGGGGGGGATAGCAAAGGGGGGGTTTGAGAATCAGCTCGCGTAGCTGATTTTCCCGGCGCCTCCCGGCGCCAGAGGCGGCTACGCATCGAGGAATGGGCCCCTCGGTGGGGCCGAAACCAGCTGCATGCAGCAAATTTCGTACCCCCCCCTTTCCCAATCCCCCCCTTTCGTCCGGCCCGAGAGGTATACTGCGAATCTGACGCATCACGGGCCTGGCCTATGGACAAAACCTACGCGTGTCTCTCTGGTCTCTAGACCTCGAGTGGCCGATGCGCGCCTTGAGCGCACATTCGGAGGCGAGACATGGGAACGGGGACCCCTCAACACTGCTCTTGCCTTCATCCAGGTTGGAGTTTCCTTGCACCTCCTCGTCCTCTTTGTCCTCGTCTCCCTCATTTCCTCCGCTCCTCCTCCCTCTCCTCACTCTCCTTTCCTTAGAGCCGTGATACTCGTTCGCCATGTCGAACTGCCTGTTGACCAAGTCGTTCAGGTCTCCAACCACCTTGGCAAGCGGAGTGTGAGGATACGAGGGGGAGACGGAAAAGAAGGATGAGGAGGAGGGTGAGGATGAGCTCTGGCTCTGTCCCAGGGAGGTGTAGGTTAGAATGCTCTTTCGCCTTCCATCTGCTCTATGCTGTTTGTCACGCAACAGTGGATGGCGAAGCTGAGTATCTGCTCGCTTCAGCTGATCCCTGGATGTGGCGACTGACAATGATATAGCTGGCCTCTCTTAAGACGAAGCCAGGACGAGGATGAATTCGGGTGAGGATAAATCGGGGATCTCTGCGATCCAGCGGCTCTGGAAGATGTCTCGGGCGCCGCGGCCTTTCCAGAGCGTTCCGGAACGCTTTGAGAACGTTCCGGAACGCTCTGGAACGGGTTCACCCTCGTCCTGGCCCCGTCTGATCTCTGCAGAATCGTAGGTTCGGTTCTGGCTGGGGCTCGCGGCCCTTGGGAGGGTGGTGTTGGGATCCCGGCGGGCCCAGCGCACAAGACGGGGCCGAAAGTAGGGCCTCGGCAGCTTGAAGGGCAAAGGGGCCCGCGTCCAGTGCACAGCAGACAGCAACCTTTGGGAGCGTGTGCGCTCACAGCACAGGAGCAGCAGCACAGTTGAAGGGGCCAGGAGCACACAAGCAAAGGCACACAGATCCCATGATTCCCAATCTTTTCTCATCTTTTCTTGCTTTCCGCCTGCCCCCCCACCTCCCAAATTTTCCCTTGCTTTCTTGGAAGTCGACGTTTAATTGTGTCTGTGTTTTTCCCTCCTGAATAGTGGGAAGTGGGTCGAGCTTTTCTCTGGACGACGAGAACGTTCTCGGTCGCGTCGGTTGCCATGACCACGCGTATGATAATTGAGCGCCTGGTGATTGCACACTGGGAACACCAGGTGGCCTCGAGCTGGAAGCTACGTACAAAGATACGGACTCCATCATGAGGCTGTCAGGCGTGTGTTCTGGTGTGGTGATGGTCATTGACTGTTCCTGTATCCTGATTCTTCATTGGTGCAGAATCCCACTTTGTCACATCGCCCGCCGATGGCGAACCCATCAGAGCACTCCCATCCTCCGGGTGAAAAGGCATGACGACATCTGCGATTTCCCTTTCAGCATGGACGTTTTGACGCCAACGTTGCCCAATCCCTTGCCAGAGCGGGACGGAACGCAAATCCCATGCTAAAGGGTTACATGTCGCTCTCGTCTCGGCGCCGCGCTCACTGTTCTCCTGAGATTTGAGCTCCCGCTTCGGCGCGGCTCACAGTGTTCGCCAGCCAAACCGTCGACGCGCAGCCCACACGAACACGTCGCTCTCGCTTCGGCGTCTCCAGTGCCGCGACCGCCCCGGCGCGGCGCCTACTTTTTCCCGCCAAGTCGCTGGGGCCGGGGCCGCGCGTGAGCGGGTGACATGCTGTCCTCGCCCAAGCGCCGCGCAAGTGTTGCGTGAAAAGGGCAGTGCGGCCCCGGCGCGCCGTATCTTCCGTCCTCGCTCATTGGAAACTTGGTGGCCGCCCGAGAAAAACGGCTGAACGGTGCTCTCGCCGCACTGCCGCGCAAGGACTTTTTGAAGTTCCGCTTCCGCCTGTGCGCGCACCGCGATTTCCCCCCCCCCCCCCCCCCCCCCCCTCCCTTTGCTACCCCGACTCTGCCACGTATGTGGCCGATAGCACACCCATCCAGGCCCTCCCTCCCAACATGCAAACTCGACGTCTCCCTTTTCAACACGGACGTTTCGTCGCCGACGTTGCAAAATGCGTGGCGGGAGTTGGACAGGGCGCACATCCAGAACGCAAGGGCGAAACGTGAGTCTCGACTTGGCGCCGTGCTAATCTTGACGGAGTGTTGTGTTCCCGCTTTGGCGCGGCACGCAGTTATGGCTCGTCCATTCTTCGACATCGGGGCCTGGGCCTCGCGCGAGGACCGAACCGTTGCTCTTGCCTCGGCGCCGCGCAGGTTTCGCTTGGAAGAGACGCCGCCGCCGCCTCGGAACGGCGCCTGTTCTTCACTCGCCACGTCGTTCTGGGCCGCGGCCGCGCGCGAGCGGGCGGCTTGTCGTCCTCGCTTGAGAACGCGTGCAGATCTCGCCTGGAAGTTCCGTGCCCGCGCGGGCGCGGCGCAGGCTTCACTCGCCCAACCGCATGGCGGGGCCGTGCGGGAGTGGGCGACATGCTGTCTTCGCCCAAACGCCGCGCAACTTGCGCGCGAGAGCGGCAATGCGGTTCCGGCGCGGCACATGCAATAGTCTTCGCCGCGCTCGCCGGAAATTGAGTGGCCGCCCGGAGCAACCAACTGGGGCTCTGCGCCGCAGCACGCGCAATGATTCTCTGAAGTTCGGCACCTGCCCGCGCACGGCCCGCATGTTTTTGTTGCTTTCCCTCGCCAACTCGTCGGAAGCGGGACCGCGCGCGAGCGTCTTCCGTTCGCTAGGTGGGAGCGCATTCCAGTCATTCCAGTCCCAACATCAAATTGCGCCACCATCTGTTCTTATGTTTTGGGAGGGAGCGTGTGTGGGAATGGTCGGGGACCGCTCACTCGTTCGAACTGGTTGACCTGACCATCATCGTGCGCCCACGCTCTGTCGGCCGTGCATGCCGACATATTTCACGCCTGCTGGCTCGTGGTCCAAAGAGAAAGAAGTACCATAATCGTGGTGCCACACTATCACCACCACGCTTGCCAAGGACAATGCAACACTCAACGAATACCCATCGGAATGGCTTCTTTTCCCGGTCAGGGAATGGACCCAAGGTTATCAGTGTCCCATTTCGGAACATCGCATTCATATGGTGCCATGCCATGCCACACCTTGTTCATGGTTTTGCTCACTCAGGTAGGTTGTGAAATGCTGCGTGCATGTCTGACTTCCAGTCTCTGTATGAGATGACTTAAGTCTGTCTCCGTACGTAATTCTGCCTTTCTCCCTGTCTCTCCATCTGAGCGACGATCAAACACGGGTCTTACGCGAATTGGCATAGCGACCTTCCGCAGTGGCTCACGCGTGCCGCCAGCGCGGCACGCTGCATTGGAGACGAGGGCGCTTACGCGCGACCTTACGCGGGCGACTTGCGCGCTAATGTCGGCGCAGACGGAACCTTTTTTTAGGCGTCGCTCATCTGCCTCTCCTTTTCTGCCTGTCCGTCAATCTGTCCAGTCCGTCTGCGCCCTCTCCGCACGCTTTTCCGCCGCGGCGCGGCAAGAGGCGATCCGCTCGCGGGTGGAGCCAGACCGGGCTGCGGAGCTGCCGATTGACCCGCATGCGAGGCGAGGCGAGGCGAGGCGACTCCCAGTGGAAGGCGAGGCGAGGCGAGGCCAGTCTTGACCCGCATGCAATGAGTGGAAGGAGGGAGGAGAGGGCGGCCGCGGAGGAGGTGGCGGGACGCGGGGGCCCTCTCACGCACAGCCGGCCCGCATCATAAGGATGCGCGAGAAGGATGCGAGGGCCCTGGACGCCCACTTCGACGCTTTTCGAGCGGGGCGCGGCCGACGATAGTGGCCAAGGGGGGGCGGAGGAGGCAAGGATGCAAGGGGTACCTCTGGGAAGGTTGCCCATCCTTACTACGCGGGTTAACTGTAACCCGCATGCAAGATTGGACGATGGGGGAGGAGAGGGCGGTCGCGGAGGATGGGGAGGGACGCGGGGACACTCTCACGCATCTGGGCCGAGAGAAACACGAAGACGAAGGAACGACAACGCTGCGTACGCACCACATTATAGTCTCCGAGGGGAGCTGGCGGGCCCCGAGAACGTGGGCGCGCCTCTGCGGGCGTTCTGGAAGGCTCTGCGATGGGGCGTCTCCTTACCATCGCTCGGACGTCCATTCCTCCGTGCATTTTTCGGTTCTCGTGTGTGCTCTGTTTGCTAAGAAATGGTCCAGGGTGCTCCTCGATGGTTCTCGCTGATAACAAGTGCACACGTCCGAACGAGGCCAAGTGCGTCCCCCGCATCCCCGCACCCAGCCGAAGAGCCCCCCTGCACGTATCTTCAGCCGCCCCACGACGAGGGGTGCCCCTGTCTGAGCGCGGGGCGTGTGCGATGACGGACTCCCGCCGCTTCATCTCGGCGATGTCCTTGCGAGGCCAGACAAGCGAGGCCGATGGCTGGCCCGCTCTCTGCCTGGCGCCTCTCCTGTGCCTCCTCCTCCTCGTCTTCCACTCCCTCCTCCTCCTCCTCTTCCTCCCCCTCCTCCTCCTTCTCCTCCTCCCTCCTCTCCAGTCCGTCCCCTTCTCCTCCCTCCCTCCTCCTCCTCCTCCTCCTCCTCCTCCTCCTCCTCCTCCTCCTCCTCCACTTTGTTTTTCCTCCATCCCCTCCCCCCCTCCTCCTGAGGGGCAGGCAGGTTGAGACAGCGGCAGCTCAGAATCGGTCCCCGGAGCCCTCCTGGGGCCCCAGCGCACCAAGTTTGCTCGAGCTGCGCTGGCCGCAGCGACGCGCGCCCCCCACCGAGGGCTAGCCACCGCTGTCTCGGCTCGCCCTCCTCCTCTCCTCCTCCCCCCCCTCCTCCTTCCTCCTCCTCCTCCTCCTCCTCCTCCTCCTCCTACTCCTCCCTCCTCCTCCTCCTCACTCCTCCCTCCTCCTCCTCCTCCTCCCCTCCTCCATCCTCCGTCCGTCCGCCTCCTCTCCTCCTCCTCCTTCCTCCTCTCCTCCTCCTATTCATAGTCCTCCTCGCCCTCCTCTCGCCCTCCTCCGAGTCCTCCCTCCTCCTCCCCCCTCCTCCTCCTCCTCCTCCTCGCCTCCTCCCTCCTCCTCCTCCTCCTCCTCCTCCTCCTCCTCCTCCTCCTCCTCCTCCTCCTCCTCCTCCTCCTTCCTCCTCCTCCTCTCCTCCTCCCCCCCCCTCCTCCTCGTCGTCGTCCTCGCCCCCCTCCCAGTCCCCGCTCGTGCACCTCGGGCCCGCCGCTGCTCCCGGCTACGGCCGGGCTCGCCTGGCAGCTGCACCTGAGACGATGTGCGTTTCGCCCCACATCTCGCTCT